ATTTTTGGTATTCCCTGGGGACTTCGTTGCTCTGTTCCCCTTGCTGCTCTGTTGCACGCCTTTAGTGTTTTGCCTCGGTGTGGTGGGATCAAATCAGGCACAATTCCCACACTGTGTCTCCAGTGTTGTCCCCTGTAGGGCGATGGGTCCGTGTGGGATGTCGTGTCTCGTAGTGGGGCAGGCCATATGGTCTTCTCTATGGATTGGCTGCTCTGAGCGAGAATATCATCGTCAAGTCTTGGTGGGCCAGGTTGTGCTCCACTCTCTCTTCCTCCCCCTTCATTTGCTCTGTGTGCTCCAATCATACATGCCCATTTCCCTGAACTTCAGCTTCAGTGCTGTCCTTTGAAATAAATTCTTCTGGTGGGGAGGGGAACCTGTCCACCTATGTGGGATTGGGGCAGGGGCCTCAGACCTCTCCACTGGTTCCCGACTCCATTCCTAGAATTTTTTTTAAGATTATTGATTCTCCTCCAGGAGCTAGTAATATCCTCAAACAATATCCTTCAACACAAATACAGAATACCTGGGAGTTAATCTTTTAATCTTCTCTGTGAGGATTCACAGAGTAATTTTCTGAAAACAAACAAGGATTCTTTAAAAAAAATAATCATAACCATTGAGTTAATTCTGACTCATGTCAATGCTACAAAGCCAGGTAGAAATGCCCCTGTGGTTTTCTGAGAAGATAAACTCTGCACACACAAAAAAATGTCTACAATCTGATACTGATGCTCTGCCTTGAGACTGAGCCAATCACTTTAGTCCAAATTCATATGCATTGAGTTCCAGGGACACCTTCAATTTTTCCAAGAGCAATAAAAACCTAAGAATACATTTAGTATGAAATAAACTCACAGACAGCAAAAACATGCTCAATAAAAAACAATAAACCCGAGGCAGGCAGACAAAAGAAGCCAAAAATAAATATTCCCTAATTAAATCCTCAGACACCCAGACAATTAGGTTAATATTGTTCCTCAGAACTCCTAGTGATGAGAATAGTTCCTGAAGTCTTGAAAGTTAGCAAGTGGCCATCCATTGTATAACACTAGGAATATATTAATATGAAACCAAAGCCAAAAATCAAACTCACTGCCATTGATTCATAGAGCCCCTATAGGACAAAGTACCACAGTAGGACTACCTGTGAATTTCTGAGCATGTGAATCTTCACAGGGATAGAAAGCCTCATCTTCCTCCCACAGACCTGCTGATGGATTTGAATTGCTGACCTTTCAGTCAGCAGCTTTTAAGGGTAAAGTTGTTTACTCCTCAGGCAAAGGGGACAAGACCAGCACCTTCCTCGGTTCATGACCTGTGGGAGAAGGTTTATGGCTCAGCTACGGGAGCTGATGAAGCAATGACTGGCCTTTCTCTCTGCTTGAGATAAATGGACATGCCTCTTGTCCACTGACTAAAGTTTCAGAAGGCAGCAGTCTGCAAACTTATGTTCCCAACCTTATCCTCCCTCCAGTCTGTGAATAACATGGCTGATATGTTAATGTTTCTTTGTAATCCATCAAAGAATTGTAAAATGTCTCATTGTGTAATCCTGTCACAAGTTCAGGCTACCTGCAGAAAAGATACTAAAGCCTGCTTCTAATAAAGCACAACATCCGGGAGTGTCTATCCTGCAGAGACCCCAGTGCCCTGACTTGAACTATTCCTTTTGAATATAAGTTTCCTTCTACAGTTCATAGCATCACGAACCCATTCAATTTGTAATATAAGACCCAGTCTTATATTACATCATCTTACAGCAGTCCTTAACCCACCATGCCAACAACAGGGCCAAATGGAAACATGTCTCTCCTTACCTCCACAAATAACTACCTATTTTGCTATGAAATCAGAAGAACTGGATGGTGCCTAGCTATCATT